AAAAATAAAAATAAAATGAAGCCTGACTTACTATTGACTTCACACTCTAATAAATTATCAAAATTTTATGAAAACGCTAAATATTGTGATATTTCGATCATTGTCGGAGATATTCGAAATACTGAACGGACCTTTACAGCGCATTCGTCAATGCTAATGGCGCAGTCAGAATATTTTGCTGTTGCTCTTTCCGATGCGTGGGTAAAACGAGAACCTAACAAACTAATCGTCTTTAAGAAACCAAATATTGAACCGCTTATTTTTGAAATCTTATTAAGGTAGACTTTATTTTTAAATGAATATATTAAATTGAAATTAATCTATATGGTTATTATTTTTCTTCACATAAGATATATGTACAATGGCAAAATCGATTTGTCAGATCATGACGTGCCAACGCTCTTAGATTTGTTGGTTGCTGCCGATGAATTGATTCTTGAAGATTTAATTGAATATATTCAAGAATATCTTTTGGAAGAATATTCTGAATCTATAGTTGAAAATTTCGCTACAGTCAATCAAGTTGTTTTTCAGCATAACTCCTTTGTCAAATTTCAGGAATTTTGTACAGAAATTGCATGCAAAAATCCGGCTGCAGTTTTTCAATCCACCGATCTTACAAAAATTCAGGAAACAATAATTATCTCTTTGCTCAAGCGAGATGATCTGAATCTAAGCGAGATTGAAATTTGGGAAAAAGTTCTTAAATGGGGAATCACTCAAGCATCAATTTCTGGCAACGTCGATTTATCGGTTTCAGTAGAACAATGGTCACAGAACGAATTCAATCAGCTCAGCATTGCGCTTAAAAACTGTCTACCATTAATTCGTTTCTTTCATATAAACTCTGTTGATTTCTACAATGAAGTGATGCCATATTCGGAACTATTATCGAAAAAACTTTACAAAGATTTATTGCATCATTACTTGGTACCTGGAAGTGAGGAACAACAAGCGTCACTTCACACCATCCGTGATTCACATAACCAACTATCAACAATTCTTTCTCGCAACCAAACCAGTAAAATTATTCAATGGATAAAAGAACAGAATAGTGAAAAAAATTATTCATTCGACTTTAACCTATTATTGCGTGGCAGTCGAGATGGATTTACAAAAGAAGATTTCCACCGTTTATGCGATAATAAAGGTCCGACCATTATTGCTATCCGTGTCAAAGATTCTAAGAAAATTATCGGTGGTTACAATCCTTTTGAATGGAAATCTAATCGTCAATGGCATACAGAATCAACAAAGAGCTTTTTATATAAATTTGATTCTGATGATATCATGGGTTCAAATGGTGTTTTAAGTAAATATACATCTGGTTATAGTGTTGCCAATTATGCAGACAGAGGTCCTTGTTTTGGAGATGGTCATGACTTGGGTTTGTTTACATTTCACGCGCATACTAATTATTGTCAGAAAATTTCTTATGAGATTGGTCTTCTAGGCAAATATAACGAAATAATACCTTTTGATATTGATGATTATGAAGTATTTCAAATAGTTCAGAATTTGATGGATAAATAATTACGTGCAGATTTTACTTTTTTGTAATACTGTCTCTATTTGCAATCACTTTCTTTGTTAAATTAGATTTAGTTACAAAATTTTGTTGATTTTTATATAAATGATAGTAGAGAAATCTGCTTAATTGCAAAATTTTCACTATAAAGATGTATACATTATAAATATTTTTATTTTCAATATACTTCACATACGTAGTCAATAATAATTAACGATTGTGAATGTATAAATTAGGCAATGTGCGTACAGTTATCGGCAAAAGTAATAACAGTGAAATTTTTATATAAATTTTACTACAGTTGGTCATCAAAAGGTCCGGCAAGAATTATTTTTGAATTTTGTGGTAGCTATTTTTTAGTTTTAGATACTCAAATAAAAAAGGATCTTACCCTACACAAGTTTTTCCCATGTGGTGATGGTATTCTTCGGGAGGACAATGCAACACCACATAGGTCAAAGGTTGCAACTGCCGCTCGCGAAGCTTCTAGAATCAAGACGTTATTTTCGCACAAAGTCCCGATTTGAACCCTATAGAAAATTTATGGCATGTTGTGAAAGACGCTTTTCGCCGACGATCCTCTGCACCATCTATTCTAGAACTCGAACAATACGTGAAAGTGGCTTGGAAGCATCTTGCACTCGAATACTAGTGCTCCAACCGGGTCGGATTGGGGTCAAACCCGACCCGAATATTTCGGGTCAGCCAAAAAACGTTATTTCTCGTTCAATATTAATTGGAATTAAACAAAAATTTGTGGGTATATACATAATTAAATTCCGAACAACTCTATTTAGACACAAAATACAAGTGTCTTAGTAAAAATAAAAGCTATTAACGAAAAACTATTTTACGATTTTCGGATCAAACCCGATCCGAATCCGACCCGAAATTATCGGTTCGGGTTGACCTCAAACCCGATCCGACCCAACCGAACAGAGCTTTATCGAATACTATAGTGTCCCGATCGAATTGCCACGGTTATTGTTTGCAATTGATACAAAGCATTAATATTAGTAAAACTTAGAGCTAATATTTAAACTTTATTTTTATTTATTATTCCTGTTTTTGAGTTGTCAAATTTAATGGTTTGTAAGTGGCCAGATCTTTATGATGACCCACTGTATTTTATCATTGTTCTGTTGAAATGATTTGATTATCCAAAAGCTTTTTACAGAACTTTGGTATTGTGTTCGTCCCGTAAAGATCTTTAAACGATTAGTAATGTCCATTGTCCCCAGCATTGGATCAGATAAATAATGAATATTTCTAAAAATTTCTGCTAGACCATGAAGAGGAAGACAAATTTCACAATACATTTCTCGATTAAAAACATACTTGACAGCAATAGTTCAAAAAGACCTGAAAAGAAACCTATAAAAGATATTAAAATAACAAATGATCACTTATTATGTCTTTTATTTGTTCTTTTGATGTATTTTTTTAAAGTCAATGTCCAAAATGAAATCCCATTTCTCCTTATCAGTTGCAGCATCAATTAATGATACTTGACGATGCTAAACCTTTCGTCACGACCATTTTGAAAATTCCTGTGATGAATGACGAAAATCTATGACGAAACCTTTCGTCACGACCATTTTGAAAATGTCTGACGAATGACGTAACCTATGAAAAAACCTTCTGACCATTTTTGTAAATGAACGAATGCGAAAAATGCATGTTTAAATACATGTACTGGTACATGTATTGATTTTCACGAAACCTTTTACCATGTCACTTTGAAAATGCGAGTGACGAATGATGAATCGTCTGATGAATGACAATTTTTGCAAACTAAACCATAAAAACAATAGGTCAAGTCAAGCTTTATTAATTTATCAGTTTATTTTTTTACCAGAGGTATATACACTTTTCTCAAGTTTTCATAATGCTGGCCAAAATTCTGCATAATTTTGATCAGTCATGTTCTAGATTTCTATATAATAACGTAACATTCTTTTAAAATTTGGAATAGGATTTGTACATGTGATTTAAGCTATTATTTTTATTGGTCAGAAGATTTCGTCACAGGTTTTCCCAATTAACATGTGATTTAAGCTATTGTCAGAAGGTTTTGTCACAGATTTCGTCACAGATTTCGTCAATCGTCATGGGTTTCGTCTGATGAATGACGTGGCAAAACTTTCGTCATTATAAAAATAGTTTTGTCAGATATCAACGCAAGTAAACGGTTTTTCTTTAAGCCGAAAAATATTTGATGTTAAATTTTTACTGGTAAAGACTTTCTTAATGTTTATGGCAAGTTCTCTAATGCTTTTGGATTTAAATTTTCATTCTTACTTACGGACAATATAATGCAGTTCTGTGACGAGGATCCGTACGAAATCCCGATATTCATAATCCCGACAGCACATAAGCCCAAATGACAAAATCTCGAAACACCAAAATCTCGCCTAGTACAAAAAATTACAAAATCCCGACAATTACAAAAATCTCGACAATTACAAAATCCCAATGATTTCTACCATTGGTTTTGTAATTAAAAGAAGCCAAAAAATAAAGAAGCGTTTTGATCAAAAGTTGAATAACGATTTATAAGCTATTGTATAACACGCACGCGTCAAAACAATGGATGCGCATCACATAATCTATCAAAACAAATTATGAGCATCATACTGACTGTACTATAACAATACAAAATTATTCTTTTATTTACTACGAAGATGTTAATTGAAAAAAATCACTAACTTTACTTTCAAATTGTGGCAAAGTATATCTTCGATACAATAATAAATAATTTTAAAAATCAGAAATATTCAACGAAATTATATCTGTATTTTTTCTTGACTTAAATTTTGAAAATATTAATAACAAACTATATGAATATTTGACTGGTGCCAAGCCTAAAGGTTTATTATAGAGTTAGGGTTAGGATCAGGGTTAGGGTATGGTTAGGGGTTGGCGGGAGAGTATGATTATATACCAAATTGCCTCCCCAACATTTTTATTAGTACTCCAAGTTAGATCTGAACATTTATTCTCTGTATTTTCGCTTTTCATTTTCTATTGTGTTAGATTCGTTTTGCCGAACTGATCAAACATTTGCATATTTGTTCAGGAAAAATTTAAAACTTAGCTACGTAACTTTTTTTTAGAGTGATGCCAGGGTTGTGATTGTCGGGATTTTGAACCTTCGGGATTTTGAAAGTGTCGGGATTTTGTAATTGTTAGGATTTTGGGTTTCGGGATTTTGTCAGCCGGGCTTATGTACTGTCGGGATTACGAATATTGGGATTTCGAACCAAACCCTGTGACGTATGTCTTAACGGATTTGATGGTTGAAATATGAGATCTTCAATGTGATATATACGTTTCCACGGTAAAAAGATTTCTCGAGAAATTTGAAAATCACATTGAAGTATTACACTTGGTAGGATAACAGTACGGGAGAAATTATGATCAGCAACTTGGAAAGATTTCCCTTTGCCTACTTTAACTGACTTTTCTCTTTCTACTGAAGCAACAGAATATCCAGATTCTCCAACTTTGTGACAGCATTTATTACTGAATATGACTCAACGTATGGATGAAACTCGATCGCGAATTTTTTGAAAGAATTGAAATTACTGACGTATAAAGATTTTTCATATGATTAATGTGAATTTGTCGAGTTTGTATCATGTATTTGACCTCAAGCTTGCCAGTATATTGGAGAGCATTGTTGTTTGATGGTATCTTTGGAATCGAAACCAAGTTTCACCCGGAATAGGAGTTTCAGATGGAGAAGTTGTGGCAAATTATCTTAATAAATCATCTGCACTTATAGCTTTGGCCAAATGTACAACTTCATTGTGCCGTCTTTCATTGACAGCAGTAACAACTGATAATTCAATGAATATTTTGCATAGCTCAAAAGATATGAAAACTCTGACCATTCATTATTAAACGAGGTCAGAATCACCCAAGTCCAGCATCCTTTGTAATCAATCATCTACAGATTTTTAATTTTTCCAGATGGAGCAGATGAATCATGGGTGAGAATATATATATTTTCGCCAGTCTCACTTTGTTGTCAGGTAAAATAAGATTAACTTCTTTTTTAAAGTTTTCACACGAGGCCCGAGTATGATATACAGGCAATTTTTTTTCGCAATTCCTTTTTGATTAGTCAATGTCTTCTCTTTATTGCTTGTGCTGAAAATTCAGGATTAATACCGATATTGTTCCCAGATATATGGGTCAAATGGCTGTTTCGAATGGAAATTCTTTTATAAGACCTTCAATATAAGTTCTTTTTTATTGTAACGGAAATACTTTCGAGTTTCAAGAATTTAACGGATTTCTAATTAGAAATTTCATAAGTACCTTAAATTATCTGGAAAAATGGGTTAATATCTAGTCTTTCAAAATAGTGAGTTCTTTTAACGATAATTATTTATACCATGTTTGAATAATTTGTGGCGGTCTCGCTGAATTGGCTTTTGCAATTACCAATTGTGTTGTTGTATCAGCACTTCGAACATGCATTGTCATTTTGTGATTATTTTTAACTCTCTCATTTAGATGGTGAAGGTATTCAACATATTTTTCCATATTGATATATAAATATATTAAGGTTCTTCTTTAATAAGACCATTCTTTATTGTGTTATAGATTGGTTATAAAAGACCATCTAATTCATCGACTTTGACCTGTGTAACTACTTTTTCCAATATTTACAAACATCAATTTGATTTAGAAACAAGTCAAATATTTTCTCCTCTTCACTAAGAATAACTGTTGTTCCAGACTCTCTGTTTACAAGTTTATGAAAAAAAGTCTTTGATGGAAATATTTTTATCATACTGATGTCCTTGCCATCTATAAATAGTACGTCCGTCTTGACAACCTTACCTTAACTACTTCCATAATTTGTGATATGTGATCGAAGTAAAAAATAACGCGAATTTGTGCAAAGTAAAATTTATTTTATTATATATAATGTATCATTATTTATAGTAAATAATGTATTTTATAGTACATAATTTAATTTCCAAAAAATCTGATTCCGACCGTCTGATCTGCTTGTCTGGCATTATGTATCTTGAAAACACAAACTTAATTGAAATCGCTTTATTTTAAACCAGTGACTAAAATACATTTAGCAATGTTAATGCAACATGTTTGTTGTTTAAATAAATATAGTAGCAGTAGTAATGCAGGTCAAATGAAAATCTATGGTACACTTATCTAATGGTAAAATTATTAGCCCGTCTCAATTTACCCGATCCGCTAACCATGTATTTCGCAGATATGATTGGTTCATTCAATTACTATCAGCAAGTATCATTTGCCACATTAACTAGCAGTGGTCTGTTTAATAAAAAGCGAGGGTGGTTTACTACAAAGGGGAGTGGTTTATGTGATAAATTACAGTAAATGGGTGGGTTGATCAGTCCTAAATATTCTATCAACCAACCCAGTCCACCTGGTTCGATTCCAGTTCGACCCGTATCACTAATATTACTGTAAATATAAAAATTATTTTTAACTGCTCAATTTACTAAGCATTAAAATTTGCAAAATTCTTATAAGCTTTCTCAACTGTCATAGATATTTGAAATTTAAAAGTAAAGAATTAATAATTGTGCTAAATCGATCATCGTTAGTTATTTGGTATACCGATACTGTGAAATTGTACAGTATGAAATTTATCTCTACGTAGTTCTAATGAAGCAAACTTAAATTAATTAGTTGTAATCATAGAAAACTACAAAAAAACCAATACATGTATTAGACAATATCATTTAAATTGAGTTCATTAGAACTAGAAATTATTTCAAAAATCAGTTAGCACCAATTATAAGGATGGATACTTAATACGTACATGTACATATACATATACATGTGTGAACACCCAAAGTCTCTACACGTAACGGTAATTACTTAATCATGTTCTTGTACATATATGAGGAGGAACACGAGGATAATAACCAAAATTTTAATACAAAGAACTCTCCCTAAGTGCACCCCCCTCGAGACCATATAAAAAAGACAAAATGTGCATTGAGAGAGGGTGTGCATTTAAGGAGTATAAATAATTAGAGGTCATATATACTCGGGATGAGCCAGAGCGTGCATTTAGGGAGGATATATTTAGTGGGTGCATTTATAGAGGGTGCATTTAGGGAGAGTTCTCTATACATGTAATTTTTTATGTATTTCAATACCTAGAGATAATTGCAATTACGAAATAATACTTTTTAGATTCTATATTTTCTTTAAATTTAATTTGAACTTAGAAAACAAACACATATCGATATGATATCGATATGCTATAAATAAATCGTATTATTTTACAATTGAACTTTATGACTACATTGACGACGAGACATTTGATTTAGAAATTTTAAGACGTTTGGAGAAGATTACGACCTTGTAATTGAGCTTACAAGTTTACCTAGATTGAAATAACTACTAGCAAAAATAACCACAAGCATGATAATCTACAGCCAATCATATCTATGCACATGATTAATCGGCAAACAGTCAACGGATGTTCTTCAAATGAGTCAACCTGATAGCAACTATAATTACCGTAAACTTCCGAGTATAAGCAGCCCTTTTTGGACCCGATTTTGAAAGCGTGCTTATTCGTGTAACTAAATATATTAAGAGATTGCTTATCAAATTTTGAGAGGGTTGTTAATATATGATTCAAAAAAGGTTTGCTTATACTGTACTCGGAAGTATACAGTAATAATAATATAATTTAACTGGAATAAAAGTTCAATTAAATAAAAGAAAAGTCTATTATTGTATTCTGAAACTAAATAAATGCTTGTAGGTATGTTTAATTAAGCTTTGTTCTTCTGCTTTAATTCTAATAATATTAAATGCATTCTGTACCAATTGATTAATGAATAAAATTTACTTGATTAATTGAAAATTTACGAATGAATGAGAATTTATTCAAATCTTCATCCTTTTAGTAAACTTCTTTACTTCATTTGGAATTTATTTGGCAGAGGCAGCAGGACTCGAACCCAAACAATCGGATCTGAAGGCCGATGTTCTACCAATTGAACTACACCTCCCGGTAATTAAAGGTGAATTTATATCCGACTAGTGATAGCTCACTTGAAATTTTTATTTAAGTTCTATACTTTTTACCTTGCTAATTTAATATAGTTTATAGATACAAAAATATATAAGTCTTCATTCCTGATACACGTGCAAGACGATATAACGGACTCTCTTTAGAAAATTTAAACCTTAATTTAGTACAATTTTTTGTGTGCGTTGGCACAATGTTTTGTTACTGATATAATACAAAAGCTTAATTATAGCATACAAGAGAATTTTAAATTTTAAGTTCTCATGCGCATTCTTTTTCTTTCCAATGGATTCATTCTACTAATGAAATTCATATTAATAGCACGACACGCGCCAAGAAGTTTGGGAAATCTATTACGGTATACCAAATTCTTTACATCGAATAAATCCCAAACTATTTCTATTTTACATTAACTTTAAATAATACACGATTACATTTAACGTTAATGCAGAAACTAAATTCCAATAAACTTTTACCGTTTCACCAGAGTTGATAGGTGTAGATGGACTAGCCTGTGTCCCTCCACTCTCTTTCGAATTAGTTGGACATTGAGTTAAATTACTTTTAACTGGTGCAATATAATTATCCAAAAAACTTTGAACGGCAGAAATTGATGATGTATTCATTTTGAAAAAATCGATCCAAGGTTGCGCCAATTTTGAGTAACAGTCACTGCAAATAATATCCGTTGGTATTTGTACATGTACTTGGTTTTCGGGATTTCCATATAAAACCATCCCACTGGGTGGAGATATCGTTATATTGAAGCTAGTAGACTGGCCAGGCTTTAATAGACTTAATATATGGTTTACAACTCTTGAGCGAACATTGATGGCACAATAAGCTATATATAATATACAGTACAAATTTTGTTATTACTAAGCTTATGATACTGGTAACATATATTTAGGTACTTACATCCAGAAGCTTGACTGCATATAGCCAGATTATCGGGGATTACCCTGTAGATTAAAAACCAAAGTTCCGGTGCAATATTCTTAGGATCGTTTATACCACCACTTTTTGTCCAATCAATCAATTCTTGTTGACAGTCTTTTTGAATATTTACGTTTAGAGTTTCTATCGCAGTTTCATCACAAGGTAATGTGCTACAACTTTTTCTCAGTCCGAGAGTAACATTATGTGACTCAAAACAATTTGAGAGATGTTCGTCAAAAGCGCCGTATGTTGTTTTTTGACATGGACTACATTTACTGACTCCGAAGAATTTCGCACATTTATCATCGACTATAGAAGTTGAATTGTTTGTGTTATCGCTTACTGTGCTATTACTATTAGAATTTTGACTAACTACAAAAGTCATGTAAAGACAATAAATTAACGAAAATAAAAGCCTTTGCTTCATTGAAGTATCGAAGCCTCCGATTTTTTGAGTGGATGGTTTAAAAAACGGAATAAATTATTTACACACTCGGTATTTTTATACCGAATAAAATGATCTTCACAATCACTATGCACACGTGTGTATTGACCTCGATTTCCCATGAATAAAATTGTAACACCAATTTTAAAGTTACCGTTATATACCGTTACATAAAAACATCGTTATCGTTATCTATGGCGTATCTTATTCTAGAACACCAAAAGAGCCTGAAGGCATTAATTGGCCATCCAATAATCCGATTGAACAGTACAGAATCATCAAAAAAACGCAGAAAAGTGGTTGCCTAAAATCTTGACGAATTAGAACGTTTATTATGGAGGAGTGGAAGGCTATCCCAGATTCAATCTGATGGGGGGGCGATGTGAACTCATAACTTAAATGGAGGTAAACCTATTCTTTACTAGTCAATTACCAATAAATATGGCTAGTTTCAGGCTTTTAATTTTACTATTCTTTTTTATTCTATGTTTTTTTAAAAAAAGAACAGTCTATCAAAAGGATTCACTCAACTGTTGATTTTAATCACACACGCAATTTTTAATTTGAACAAAATGAATGGTGTCCGATGATAAACACTTTTAAAATGGCACATCGATACGTACGTTGTCAAGTTTGAAATACTTGAATAAAGTTCCTAAATCAAACAGTATATTTAAACTTGCCATTAATTTTGTTTATCAAAAATACATTCTCAAACGAACTTGGATAAATTCAATCGACTAACCAAACAAATAGATGGATAAAATTCCAAGCATTGGTAGGGTAGGAATGGTCTGTTATAATTCGGTTAAAATCCCAGGATTTGTAGGTCCTGATATGTGAGCAGATTTACTCGGTTTTTATCTAGACACCTCCCATTCTAAAAGTGCAACAAATCCCCTGCACTTCCAGTTGAGACCTGAACTGATATCACTAATGATTTCATGCTTTGCCAGTGATCCGCAAAAATCGTCTCATTGATACTCCGAGTTGATTCTGGCATAGCAGACCTTCACCTTTTGCATGGATTGTTGCCTGAAGGGAACCATTTCCACCAGATGTTCTGACGAAGACATCATACGTATTTACAATTTTACAGAGTGTTATGAGATAAATTCAAAATCTATTCTTAATTACGATGTAGAATGAGAAGTAGCTTTTTTTAATTTTAACTTAAAAATTGGTTATTAAAATTTTTGCACAATTAGTTATGGAAGTACATAATTTTACTTTTATTGTGACTAATTATATACCTCTTTATTAATAGTATTAATTTAATACACATGCGTGTGTAGGTATTTCGTTCCGAAGTAAGTTTTGTATAGGTCTCTATAAGACAAATCCCAATGCACTAAAAATCATTAAATTCTAATTACTAGTTGCTAAAAAAATTACAGTTCAAAGATTATATAGTGTACGGTTACTTCTGGTACTTTTATGAAATCAACCAAGAATTGAATTTTAATTCAAAATAGCAAATGATTCATGACAATTTTTACACTAAATATATAACAATAACGATAATGCAGAACTAATTGCAAGGTCACACATCACATTGATTTTCTTTATGAACAAAAATGGAATAACAATGTAACTATTGAGTATAGATTCGTATTTTGTTAAGGTTTTTTTACTATCGCTATTAGGGCAGTGACATATATTTGGTAATATGGGGGTAGCAGAGCTTATGTTACACATAATATAGTAAATCACATGATATATAATTTTAGCAAAATTTATTTATTAAACTTTTTGGAACAAAGATCCTAACCACTAACGCTAATATCAATATCAATATATAAATTCTATAAAGGCAATGATCAGGATATCTTGTCTGGGCGTGGGGGATTAGACACTTATAATAAAACGATATTAGGTAAATATATGTCACTGCTCTTACATTTTAGCTTAATTTTCTAAACTTCACATATTGAATCGGACTTTAGGAAACCGAATGAATTGAAGAAGTCAATAGTTTTTGCATTTAATTTGATCTCAAATTTTTGGGTGGGTGTTTTAAGGGAAAGGTCAAGATTTTGCATTAAGGTTAAGATTACGTCGCAGCGAATACTTCCTGTTGTTATGGTACCGTAAACCTCTCTAAGTGCAACCTCTGTAATGCATGCACTATATAAATTCTCTCTAAATGCACGGTATTACTGTATGTATAAATATCGAAATACTTGGGAAATGGCGAAACAGAAAGATGCGATTGGATTCAAAGCGCGAGATGTACATGTACGTACAATGTCATGGATATTTAATATAAAATATCACACTAAACTGTTATATGATATGATGCATGTAATGACATTGCATAGTACATGTATAATAATCAAAGTTAATTTCTCCACTTTATGTCTTATCATTTTGATACAAATAAGAGAAATGTACTTATGGAGTTCGCCTAAATCCTCTATTTCTTACGAAATAGTAGCTAAAGTGAGTTTAGCTATCGCTATATTGATTAAACTAGAATTGCAAGAAACACATCAATATTGGACTGGAAAAGTCATGAAAATGCATACGATTTAATTGTTTACATTAGTAAGTTCTAATGGAATTTTGAATATTTTATCTGCATTTTTTCACGTGTAAACGTTCATGAAAAATTTACACAGATTGATAAAAAATATCAGGGGCACGCTTGGTACAGTAGTCTTAACTATCACTATGTGTAAAAGGCAATTATTATCATTATTATATTTTATTATCGTTATTATTGTTATTGTTATTATTATTATCGTTGTTATGATATAATAAATAGTACAGCCATTTGTCGTTAGATAAAATTAAGTGTTCGCTTAAAAAAATATAGTAAGCTACTGTTGCGTGAGAATTATCGTTATAATTATCATCATTGTTATGATAAACCAATTGATAATATGCGGGGCTTATTGTATAAAAAGGCGCATCAGTCTTATTAAAGCAATAATAAATCATTACCAAAAGAATAGTCGGTCGGTCTTTTCCTTTTCTTTTGGTTAATATCATTTACATCCAAACTCAATCAATAATAATAGAGTAAATAATAATAAAATGAGTTCTTTCGAAGAAATTTTGAGAAATAAATTTGCAAACCTTCCGACAGGGTGTAACAAACGCCGTACCAAGCAAGAGTTAATCGTCCAACACGAGAAGTGGATACAGTGTCTCGAAGAACACAAGACGCATGTTTACACTTACTACTCACCCTTCAATCATGATTTCATTGAGCAAAACAGAACGAACAGGACAGTTCAACTTCACCCCAAAAATCGAATTTCAATCTCTGACCTTGAAATCAATACATTCCATGAAAATAAATTTCTCTTGTGTCGCGTAATCACGAAATGCGCAAAATCAACAGCGCTTTCTACAGTCATTGAAGATCCTGAAGGAGACGCTGAGCGTATTTCGTTGTACAATTGGTTCCCGAAAACCACAATTCCAATAAGTGGATTAACGCTGACAGTTGATCAAGTTTCTCAACTTCTTCCAATTGGTACAATCATCGCGGTTCAAAATCCATACTACAAAATCGGAGAGGATGGATTCTCTTTGATTCGTACCGATTATCCGGATCAGATTAATATCGTGAATTCAACTGACAGTTTGCTAAATGGGATTAAATGGAAACCGGACAAAGAAGAAGCCGCAAAAAATAATGATAAATCATCAACGAATAAAAAAATGACAGCTGATGATTACCGATTACACGGTAATAAGTACTTTGCAATGAATGATTTCGTTTCTGCCATAAAAACGTATTCGCTTGGAATCGAATTGGATCTGCGTAACGTCACTCTTTATGCGAACAGAGCGGAAGCACATTTGCGATCACGCCAATTCGTAAAAGCGCTGAAGGATACGGAAATGGCATTGAAACTAGATCCTAAACATCTTAAAGCAAGTATCCGAAAAGGTAAAGCTCTACTCAATCTCAAACGGTATGAAGAAGCAGTAAACACCTTCCATGAATTGCTTAAACGACCAAAATCAAGAAATTCTTTTGATGGACAAATTAAAAGAGAGATCGAACAATTTCTAAAACAGTCAGAAACAATGAATTCTGAAAATAGGGATGGCATTTATAATTATGTCAGCATAATAAATGAATTTTTGAAGCAAAGTGAGACTATTGAGGATTTTTGTGAACAAGAATGGATTCACATCGGAGGGCCAAGGTTAAATCATGCCGACTACATCAATGATGCGATCGAAATGAAACAAGGAGGTGCAAAAGGCTGTAAATGGGTCTCTAAACAAAGCATACCGCAACACACTTTATTGATGGTTTCTAAAGCATTTGAAATTGTTTTTGAACAAGAAACACCTAAATTTTATATTTTTGGAAATGAATTTCAGACTGATGTTTCTTGCTTGATTCCACCGATTGCTCAAAAACTACGGGACGAGCCAGAACTTGGCCGTAAAATTTATCAACTGTATACCGGTCCTGACATGATTCCCGGAAAAAACCTGGACGAACACTTGTTAAAGACTGTGGATGTAAAAAGAATCGAGAAACTTCTCCGCTTTAACGCGTTTCGACAGGATGGTGACTCTGTACATCTCTTAAATCGCCACTCTACAACTGATGCTGAGGCTAATGGATTGGGTCTTTGGCTAAATCCTTCATATTTTAATCACTCATGCGTCGATACCAATGTTGAGCGCATTTATTTAGGAGACTTGATGTTTATTCGTGCGCAACGCACTATTGTTAAAGATGAAGATTTGACACTTTCATATGTTAGTCCGGTATTTCCTTATGAAAAACGCGCCCATTTACTTGAAAAATCTGGGATTCGGTGCAGATGCAGATTATGTGAAATAGATCGTGCCGAACCTTTGGATGTGCATTTACGACGTAAAAAAATTTTTGATCATTTTGGAGCTCATATCATTCCAAAGTTATTCTTAGAAAAAGAAATATACACTTGTGAGTTATCCCTCATAACCAAGACGCTTGAGAATATGTTTTCGGAGTTAAGTACACTTCGGAAGGACCATGACCTAGACTTCTCTCCGATCTTGCTCGTAACTGCACTTGACAAGACATACTTATTGACCGACAATACCTCGAAATCTGTTTCTATTCTCCAAAAAATATATGAGCTATTGAAAAAGCATAACATGTACAACCTCTCGAACAAAATCGCGTCGTCGTTAGCTCTTCGACACTCGAGACTCGGGCAGATGTCGACGGCAAAGAAGCTATTCAATTCGGGTTTGTACGAGATGGTTGCTCCCATCATTGGTCATTTTGCGATCAATAATGCGCAGAGTAGATTGAAGGCATTGAGGATTGCGGAAAAGCTGGATCCGGCGTTTATTTTCGAGGCGAGATATGCCGGTTTAGTGTAAATTTGTTGACATTAACGTCAATAAATTGTGTGCATTTTGAAGGGATATAAATGTTATATATAGCTTTAATTTTCCTTGCATGCAAATAAACTAGATAATTTTGTTAAAAATCTGACACATACAAATATAAAAATGTTAACAAGCTCTGTTTAAATCACTCGGCATTTAGATGTACACGCTTAAATCCCATCAGCATTATAATCTCCAGCGGAAATAGTAATAAGCACATGTAGAATACTAATGATATAAAACGTTTTGTAATCAAGTTTTTTCGGGAACACATTAAAAATTCTCTGACAATATTGATTATTATTTAATGAAATTGAGTGAAATTAATATAATAAAATAAAATAAAACACAAATATAGATTCAACTGAAAAAATTTTATAATTGATAAAAAGAACAAAATAAATATATATAATATTGTGATTCAAATTAATTAATTATAAAATTTGAAAAAATGATTTTATAAAAATAAAAAATAAAAATCCATTATAAAAATTTTTTATTAAATCCAATTATTTTATATAAGATTGATAACATATAACAGTAACTAATAAAATTAAGGAATCACGTGTATGATTTTATTAATAAACATAGTAAAAATTGAAATTTTTGTTTTATATAAATGTTTTCAATTTCTTATTAAATAATTTTATTTTTGTATCAAAATAAAAATATAAGTTATATATTAACATAAAGTTGTTATTATTGCAATATTATTGCAAAAATTTTTTATGGGATCGAGTATCAATATTGAGACCAAAAACATTACTTCGATCGATTTTGCTACATGTATTATGCAGTGTGTATTACATGTACGTACGTACTTCCAAACTATTAATATACATGTACATGTATATTGAATCATTTGAAGCAATACAAGCACATGATTTCTTAGGTGCACATCTAGAACCATCCGAGATAAACTTTCGCATAAATGTTTGTATAATGCTAAAATATGGCTCGATGAATTTGCTGACTTGCACAAGGTGTCTATGTGGTGTTTATACTGTATAGCATAAAAAACTCAACCACCATTCTAAATCATACGAGTATTGGCCAACATTACAGAATTTGATCATTCTGGTCAAAATTAAGATTTGCAAAAAATAACACAATCAAAACTATATATTTTGTTTTGGAGATGATAATTTTTTCGTTTAATGCGGATATCGCATGCTCCTTATAACGAGTATTGGTTGTATTTTTATTTAATATTATTAAAAATCGAGTTAGCATATTCTGTTGTTTTGCATCTAATCCATTTTGTAAGTATCCAAATATCGATATGCTTTTCTAGAATGTTTTAATAGGTGGTATGCATAAAAAAATGTAATAGTTGCGGAAATTATAATAGCCAATTTAAAAATTCTATATCGCAATATAATATTAGGCGAGTTTTCTAGAAAAAATCGGCTATAATTTTTTGTATGACTAATCTTGATTCTATCGTAACTTGGGTAGGATCTAATATAGAAGAGATACAATTTAGAAAAGGTTACTAAGGACGTGAACTGTAGGTACAGTCGGCATCAAAAGTAACGCCCGATTTGTTAATGTAACCAAATAGACAAATATATCCGTTTTGTTTACCCCTTTTTTCTTATTCTTTTGGGTCAAAATTTTTTTTGTTTTACTTCCTCGTTGCCCAGCCAAACACTACGTAAAAAACTCTTGAGATAAATATGACTCGTTCCCGT